AATAATTTCTGAAATGAGAATTTATAGCTTTAATTCATTATTAAGTTGAATAGAATGTTGATTCTTATTTATTATAAAAATTAAAGATTTAAAGTAATTATTGTAGCTATTGAAAGCAGAATTGACGAGATGTTCAATATGATCAAAGTTGAAAATGGGAAAAACGGAGTATTATTGGCTTCTGTACATCGCTGTGAAAATTTACACTATAAAAGTTACAATTAGAACAAGTTAAAAACGTGATATCTGCTAGAATTTATATAGCGTACGACAGCTGCCAACTTTTGAACTTTTAACACAGCAGTAATAATAGAAGAGCCATTAACCGTATTGGACATTCGCGAATAAAACAATACGGAATCATGATTAATTAAAAGATGTAATAATACTTTATTATGTATGTATTATAATCGATACTTTTTAATTCTTTAACGAGAAATATAAGATAAAAGTTTCAATGGGATCGAAATAATGAACAAATATCAGATAAAATATTTACCTGGAATTTTTATTCGTAACATATATATATATATATATATATATATATCGATATATAATATATATATATATATATATATATATATATATATATATAAAACAATATAGTACAGAGCTACTTCCCCATAAGCAATTTACGCATGTTTGTCGTTGAAATAAATAGATTTGACTTACACATGATAGTTCTGGGCAGATTTGACATTTATTTATAATTCATGCACGTACAGTAGAGTTACTTGAATTAAGCACGTATAACCTGCACTTTAACCGAGCGCTGCGTTGTAGTTTTGTGGTTATAATTATATAACAAAGTTATAACCGTCTTTCTCTCTAAAAGGAACAATGCGAACAGTTCATGTACATCCGCATATTTTATAATGATTTAATAATTGCAATGTGCATTTCCATTTATTTGGTATACGTTTAAAAGGAAACTTGCGACGTTTTAATCGTCATGACACAATTTCACCTTTATTAATTATAATATAATTTAGCAATATTTAAATAACTGATTAATTAAGGCATTAATATGGCATGCTAATAATTCTCTATTTCGACGCATAAACATTAAATTGATACGTGTATTTAGTATTATACTAAAATAAATAGATCGCAATATATATGGAATCGTGATATAGAAGTTACAGTTGGGAAATTACAGGCATGTAATAACGCACGCGTGATGAGTAAAATTTAATAAATTTTCGGAGCAAAATTTTGCCAATAAGCCTGCGTATGCGCGGCGAGAGTAAGCTGCTTTCGCCGTACAATATCCACTCTGGACTACTAACTACTTCTCATTACAAGCAGCGCTGCATATTTCATGCACGCATTTGCGTTTCGGACCCGTTCTTCGGAGCAGGCGCAAAATTAACCGGTTCACATGAAGATTACGGAAAATATTAACAACTTCGCGCAACTTTGTACGGAAGTGACTTGGAAATTTCTGAATTAATGCATCGTGATCGCGGACTTTACGTAGCGCTGTACGTTAATATATAAGAAGATTATATAATCCTCGCGCACGCCGTGTAAAATACATGCTTTAAATTAAATCGCGAATATTAAACACATCTGCCAGGGTGTATGTTTGATGAGATATCGATTTTTCTTTAGCATCTTTTTAATACGCTTCTGATAATAGTTAACGCTTTTAAAAACTTTTACCGCAAAATTTTGATGAAAATCTCATAATTTTTCCTAACGTTGGTAAAAGTGAAAAAGTATGGAATGTCGATAAAAATTACAGTAAGATAAAATTTAGCGAATATAAATTCCAGTTAAATTTAAATCAATTTTTTAACAGAGATATCTACTATTACATGCAGTAATTGAAATAAATGGTTAATGCGAATAATATATCTTTCATTTTGTTGTCGAAATCACATTAAATCTAGGCAGATAATTTTCCTTTCTCTATTTGGACGTTTTGGCTTTATTGGACGATTGATTCGTATTCAATCAAGCACATATATCAGGAGGAAGCGAGAAGCACTGACGAGGATGTTTGCGAGAAGGCGCCTTGCGAAAAGCGACCTTCGGAAAGCCTCGAGATCTTGAAGGATTACGAGGATGACCTGGAGTATTCTGACATCGACATAGTGCCGGCGAGACAGTCTGTCGCCAGCGATAAAACTGAAATTGAGATCGAATCGATTGATGGTCACGTTTCCCAAGAAGGGAAAAGTGAAGTATGCCGCCGGGCACGCCGGAAAAATGTCGGAAAAACGATCAGTTACTTTGAATTTTGTGACCGGGCGATTACGTCATAAAATATACAGAGTATTTCGAGCGTATCCGAGCATCGTCCATGCGTGAAAAGTGGACTTTGGCCTCTATACATTCTTTGTATAGTGTCAATCTTATAAAAGAGTAACGTTCAGATATTTCTCAACACTTGAATATTTTTCATCGTGAAAATTTTTATTTATTTACTTTGTTCGCCGATTTACTCACTGAACAGTTACAAGCGAAATTTAAAGTTACACGACTTTACTATATATATTATATATCCCGTTCATTAAATTCTAATCGCCCATGACGAACGGTTGGACATTTGTTTAGTCAGCGATCGAGGTGAACGAGCATCTTGTCCTTTCTTCGATCATCGATCATACCAAGCGTAATGGTGATACTGCTGAAGGTCTTCCGAAACGCGACGTTAATGCGCAAGAGACAATTGATGATGCATCCGAGTTTAACTTGGATGGTGTGAAGGAGGTCGCGGGGGAAGCGGAAGCGATCGACTACGAGACTTCGGCTACTGGGATCGATCGTGAAAGCTCATCGGAAGAGATCCGCCGATGTCTCGGGGAGGTCGAGGGCTCGCAGACGCCACCGACGCCCGATCCTCTGAAAAAGTTCCTGAAAAGGATGCAGGCGGAGGTGGAGGCGGGTCGTCTGGAAACAATCTTCCGGGTACCTGGAATCGGTCCGCCGGTGTCGGCCGAGCGTGTAACAGCTGTTGGACTGTGGCTGGCTGACTGTGCTCGTCGTCAGGAGGGTCTAGTCGGGCCGCGTAATATCCGCCACTTTCTCTGCCCAAATCTCGATGATATTCCGGAGCGCGATTGCACGTAACCGTCGTAAAATGTCCCCGTGTGTTCTCTCGTGACGCAATCGATGCAATTGGCGATTTTCAATCGGGCGGAAAATCTCTACGTGTCCATAGCTTTTATGTAACGTTATTAATGCTATATGTGAATTATGAGAAAATAAAATTCAAAAGTTTCTCTTTGCTGGAAAATATCGCTTGTATTTGTTAAATGAGATGAAAAATTACTATATTAAATTACTATATTAATTGTGAAATCGTCATTCTAATTGTCATTAATCTATAAAGGAAATTTTAATATATTGAGACAATAATAAATTCCGATGCATTTTTCATATAATTTGTAATATTATTAAATGCACATTAGCTTTTAGTTGCATTCCATGTTTTATTGCGTTACATAATCATTCGATATCAATGCTATATTGTCTTTAATTTATAATCATGCACGAGTGTGATTGAACCGTCATAATATCATATTATCGTAAAGAGCGGACAAAGCCGTGAAACCATTTGAAAAACATGTGTATATTAAATTATGAATTACCGCGTCGTTCTATAGTTTTCTATCTAGTTGCGTTTCTATTTTGTTACATGTACGAGAGAAAAATAGTGATGTAAAATAAACGATATGAGAAAAATAAGAGATTTCAGATGACGAGACAGAAATACACGTACAAAATCTATCTTTTCCTCCAGAGAGCAACGGAATCGATATTCTGATCGATATTCTTTGAGAGTACGTGTCAGTTATTTTCCGTAACCGCCTTCCAGCGTGCGTTTTGTCAATTCGCCCGGCTGCCGTATATCGGCAACAACAACTCGGTAATCGATTATTGGTCGAGTTATTATTGGCATCACGGTTGCACAATATTGACGTATGCCGGTCAGCTTCAGGGTTCATAAACCCTCTCACTCTGCTCTCTCTTTTAGCCCTATGGGATTTACTTTGATATCAAGCGCTATCACACGATCGCGCAATCGAAACAAACAGTGTATGACAAGCACATGCCATTGAGAGTGCATTCACTTTAAGGGTAGCGCATATGGAGACCGCCACCCTCTCTGTCGCCGTTTCAATCGTGAGGATGAAAAAATCCAGTCGAAGGTAGACAAAGAGGTCGACGAGTTTTCGTTTGTTTTCGAAATGAAAGTACCCCGGTCCATTTAAATCTGCACTCGAAATCGCGTTGCTCTCGGCAAAAGTTTGCCCGTGGAAGTGCTATTTCGAAAACTTCTATTACCTGTGCGTCACGGGAAAAAAACGTTCTCACCTGCTGTGAAAATAAATTTTTTAAGCTTCCTTGTATGACTCGGCTGCGTGACCTGAAGCTCTTACTGAAGCTCTTACTGAAATTTGTATGTTCACTGTTTACTGATCGATATCATCAACGGTGAATAAACTCCATTGATTGACTCGTTTAATTAGATTGTTTTTGTAATTCAATGTTTTTGTGTTTAATGAGATTGTTTTCATCTCAATTAAATCATCAACGTTTGATAAACTATGAAAAAAATAGTTACAGTCAAAAATAGTTAAAGTCAAATAACTATTAATCTAAATAATTTTTTTAATTAAATGTTAAATGTTACATGCTTTTAAATATATTCGTGACCATTCGTTTAGCCCTATCTTTCGTATAAATTAGACTTAATTTTAACATTAGATTATTGCGTAAACTTTACCATCTGCTTCGGCGCGATGTCTTTTCTAGTCGACCCTCTAGGAGATAAGTCTTCCTTTAGAACCTGAGTTCTATTATCTCGACTCAGATTAATTCCATCACAGGAAATGTAAACGACTCAGATTAATTCCATCACGACGCAATAGTCGCCTCTTTCGTACGCCGAGCGTAACTCGAGCGATTAGATGGCTTAAAAATGAAATGGAGCGCATGGACAAAGATCCTGATTATACTACATATATAAAAGGAAGTGTTTTTTTTTTTTTTACCTTTGCCAGAACGACAGTAGGATTTCGTCGCGATGACTTCGACTATTGCATCGCTTTTCTTGTTATTACTATCTCAAAACGTTCGCGGATGGCACATTGCGTTTCCAAACATCAGCGAAACCTTTAATAATGAACTTTACGAGACTACGCCTCAATCGGTTCTTATATTTCCAGGTAGGATTGATTCAAGAATTGACATTTTTTTATACAAACACGTTATAAAATAATTTTATTTAAAAAGGAAAAAGCTAATTATAATTATTACTTGAATTTCATAGTTATTAGTCAAATCATAATAGAAGTGAGAACTGGAACAATACGATACAATATATCAAACTAATGTAATAATTCATACAATTTATATGTAATAGAATACGTTTAAGAATTATATTGATATTTTGTTTCCAATATATGAATTACTGTAAAAATATCTGAGACTCATAAAATTCATTTTTGCTAAAGAATATAGGACAAAAATGTATATATAATAGATTAAATTATTCTACTAATGAAATGTACATTTTAACAGTTTTATTCATGCAAGTCTCATGCAAGTAAAATGCAAAAATTTATTTATTTTAACTTATATTATTTTAACTTATAGTAGAAGAAGGATTTACATAATTTTTTGCCCGTAATATAATAGTTGTGTAAAATAGCTCTTCTTTGTGACGTTAATATGTTCAGTAATGAAGGGAGAATTTTTTAATGAACTTTGTTGTTTGTTTGAATTTTCATCAGGAACAAAATGGTGCGGCAGCGGTAATGTAGCGGACGGTCCGGATGATCTGGGAGTATTCGCAATGACCGATGCGTGTTGTCGCGAACACGATAATTGCAAAGATATAATCGAACCGATGCAGACTAAGTACGGCCTGACCAATTCTGCTTTTTATACGAGGTGAATCTTAAATTAGGACACCATTTTTATGCCAATTCTTTTTTAATGAAACATTTTAAATATTAATTGAATTTTAATGACGATTTTATCATATTTTTGAAAAATACCCAAGAAATTCCGATTTGAAAGGGAGAGTCTATCGATCATCGATATCATTGAACGTTTAGTTTATTTATACTTGATGTATGGTTATTTTTATATCGTGTTTATTATTTTTGCAAGCGCGTACTAAGTTTACTAAAGATTATTGATGTAATGATTTATAGTAACATAGTAGAGAAAATACTGTTTACTCGTGTGCTTCTATATCAATGTAAGAAACAAGAAAACGTTCCTTTTTTAGCACACGCCCAATCTATCATAGTTATTTTGTGTCGCGTGTCATGTTACAAATATCGATGGAAGCGTAGTCGAATATTTGAACGCAATATGAACAATGCTTGATTGAATATAAACGATGAGAGAAAAAAAATTAATATTTGTTTTTTTAAAAAATATTAATGAGTTATCATGTGCGCACTATTGTACGTCGCACTGATATTACGCGAAAAGATTCAATGGCAAAATCGGAAAAAGTCAATGAACTGCGCTACTCCGCAGTAGCGAGTTCGTTGTGCGATTTCCACGCAATTGGAACAGTTACTAAGTTTCGTGCGTGTCTTGCTATATTGCGACTGACATTTGACGTTGATATACGACGTCGTGCATTATTACAAACTTGGTATATTAATTACATAGGCAATTTTTTTATGATGTGCGATAGAGCGGAAAAAGTGTTTTTAAAAGCTTGCTTTATGATACATTAAAATACTTTATATTATTATTAGGTCAGTGATTTGAAGTCATAATTTGTAAATATACCCGATATTCATCCCGATATACCCATTAACTGGGATGTTAACATAAAGTATAATTTTCTGTAAAATATCAAAGTATCAAATGACCCATGCGCAGAAAAAATTAAAACATAACGTTGTTATAAAGCAGCGTTTGTTTACCTAACCGTAATGAAAAATATTTATTAGTTGTGCGAGTGGACAGGACATGCGCGGAAAAAAATATTATCGCATATTAAAAAGGTCATAGGCCTCGATTATCGCTATGTTGGCAAAGGGATGCAAAACAAAAGGAAAAAAATTTAAAACGAGAATGAACTAAAGTTATAATTCGCAAAATATATTTTTCTATAATACATTGTAAATTTTTCTCTGCTTTATTCTTGCCCCGAAAATCTCTTAAATATCTGTTGCGATCTTATTCTTCTTGAATCTTAGTATACTTCTTACCCCACTATTCCGTGTTCTCGCAACGATCGTATAAGTAATCTTAAATTGAAATGAAGCGAAGTCGCTTTTTGTAGCGAGTAATCTGATAAAGCGTCGTGAAATGTGCAAAATCAGGCTACACTGCTCGTGCGACGAGAGGTTCTACGACTGTCTCCACAGCTCCGAGGAACTCGTTAGCGCGAAGGTCGGCTTCCTCTACTTCAGCGTGTTAGACACGAAGTGCTTCCGCGAAGACTACCCCATCGTTGGCTGCAAACGGCATTCACTGTGAGTCGTAAGCGTATTAGAGTAGTCTCGCGAGTAGTAACTCGACGAATAGTGCTCGACTTTCAAATGGGTCAGACACTCGTGGGAGAGATTCATCGATCCTCTCGCAATTTAATACAACGCGTATATATGGATCGTGTTCAATTTTATTATTTCCCGATTATATTCCCGATATCATCGAGAATTATTTCCACGTAAATATATTTTCCATTTCAAATTGAATCCGCGCTTCATTCAGCAGCAAAGTATTTATCTTTCCTTTTCCTTTCCTGTATATACATATATATATATTTTTTTCAATATACATCAAATCTTCATATATTGAAAATAAAAAATTTTGTACACGCGACCGTCGAGTATGATTCGGAAAAGCTGCGCATTATCGCGAACATTTCGAAACTTTTAAGAACGATGTGCTAACGACCTCTTGGCAGTATTCCTAGACGCTGTTTGGAGTACGAGCTGGACGAGAGCCAACCAAAGATGTATCAGTGGTTCGACGTACCCACGTATTTTCAAAACGACCACCGGATGGTGATGGCCGGCCGTCATATTCGATCACTCGATCCCGGCACGAGCGTTCGAGGATTCCGATGGAAGTCTATTACGCGGGACCACCGACCACTGGAGGAAACGTCATACGCATATAGGGCCTTGTAAACTCGACCATGCTTCTGTCAACGCAGTTAAATAAGCACCAATAAAACCGCTCTTACGACCGCTTTATTCCCGCTTGTCTCTCCTTTTTGTTTCCATCCTGCTTCAACGCGCATTAGAAACGTGCGATGCGTCAAGTCGGAAAACGCATATGTGCACACGAAGGATGCGGGTCGATTGTAGGGTGAACGCTCCACGAAAGTGGAAATTGAGAGTCATTAAATGTAGCGATCAACCGCAAATTGCAGCGACTGCATATTGTATTTCACAGTTCGATACATCGGTATACCAGAGATGGTGCGAAACATAAAACAAACTCAAGCTGAAACATCTAATAACGAGAAATAACTTTGTCTCGAAATTTCTCGACGATAAATCGACCACATAAATTTTCAATATTAAATAAACCGCACGTCCGCAGTGGAAAGAGATTTGCGCGTAAAATACACAATCACCGCAATTAAAATTACAAGCAATATTTCTCTGAATAGAGTGTAGCGTTATCTATCTTCGCCGTGCGCTTCATTCGCCTTTACAATGTAGCAATAAGTCCTGTTGAAACCCCCACTAAATCATTTCAATGTAATCGCCTGTTATCGGATCTGGGGAAAAAAAAACAGAAGCTGAAATAGAGCTACGTTAGCACGGAAGAAACGAGAGGGTTGGTCCACGGGGCGCTGTGAGACGGGAGATAAGCGACGAGGATCGAATCGGTGATGGGAGGGGAAACGGCTCGCTTCTCTCTTCGCTTCCTCTTCTCGCTTTTCCGAGGCTTTCCTCCATTTTACGCGAGGCCGTGCGGGCAGCTGGCGCTTACTCCGGGATTTGCTCGGAAATTTATGTCCGGATGGAGCGCAGCCGCGCCGTCCCTCGCGCCGCCGACATCCTCCTCCTACCACCGATTTACAACTTCTCCGCTCATCTGCGCCAACTTTCGGATGCGCGTGAGCGCACGCCAGCTCCCTAACCCGGCGACTCCATTCTTCGTCGCGTCGTGTACCATTCTTCGACGCGATAGGAAAAATTGTCGACTTCGTGTTGAACGCCGTGATTTATTGTCGGCGAAATCGCACGCCGTCACCGTCGCCTTCGTCGTCGTTGAAGGCCAAGGCGCTACGTGGAGCGGCAATATTTAAGACTACCAGATATTATGAACCAAATAGTATGGAATATATGCAGAATTAAATCGTCGCAGCATAGCAAGCGACGAAAGAATAGAAGTAAGATTAAAAAAATAATGAATACCGAAAGATTATCTGATCAAAAATACTTGAGAGATATAAAAAGAGAGGTATAAAAGGATTAAATATGATTAAAAATTAAGTAATAATTTAGATACGAAAATCATCATTTATCTATAAAATAGCGAACTGTGCTCATTTCTCATTCTTGAAGAAAATCGTACTTTACGTCAATACGTTAAAAAATCGGTCAATATTAATACGTTAACAATTTGTAAATCAGTTCGTTTTAAAACGAACGACTCGCATTTGACCAAGTGATTTTTTTATCTTTCCAGATGTGGCAGCGTCAGTAGAGGTTCATTTTGAGAATAAGGATGGTGGATTCTTCCTAAAGCATATACCGCGGCCGTATTTCCCAGCCCGTGGCACATCGGATGCCGTTCCAGCGTTGTCGACAGGTGCAACGAACAGTAACAATGCGGGAGGTGCGGTACCGTCACCGCCGCCCGGCTCCGTCCTCTCGATCGACAAATTCACTGTCTTCCAGACGAGCGAGCCGGTATCGGTGCGAGCTACGTACGGACCCTTCAGCACCAAGCAGACCGTACCGGCGCGTTACATAGTCCCCGATCCGTTGGACGCGCTACCGGGACCGGAGACGCGACGTAATCTCACAGCGGCAACGATTCTGGACGCGCAGGAACTCGGCGCTCGTCATCTGGACATGTCAGCTCATCTAGTGGGTAACAGCGTGCCGCGCGATTCACCCGTGCTTAGGGTGCTCTTCCACGCCGGCAGCGAGGCTGGTGGTAGACGTCAGCTCCTGATGGCGCGACATCAGCGAGTCTGTGTGGTGTTACACGCAAACCTGGCCAGTCCATCGCGGAGTAATGCCGCGAGCAGAAGCAGCAATGGACACGGTTACTCTTCCTCCTCCTCCTCCTCCGTCTCGTCACTCCACTCGTCTCTACGTCGTCGTACCGTACGTACCGTACGTACGTACGTACGTAACGTACGTACGTACGTACGTACGTACGTACGTACGTACGTACGTACGTACGTACGTACGTACGTACGTACGTACGTACGTACGTCGTCGTCGTACGTACGTACGTACGTACGGTACCGTACGGTCCGACTACTCGCGGTACGTAGTCGTCGCGCCGAGACGAGCGACTGTCCGTACGTCTTACCTCCGTCCTCCTACCTCCTCCTCCTCCTCCTCCTCCTCCTCCTCCTCCTCCTCCTCCTCCTCCTCCTTCTCCTCCTCCTCCTCCTCCTCCTCCTCCTCCTCCTCCTCCTCCTCCTCCTTCTCCTCCTCCTTCTCCTCCTCCTCCTCCTCCTCCTCCTCCTCCTCTTCCTCCTCCTCCGCGCTTTTTCATCTTCCGCGCTGACGGCCGCCTGTAGTCCCGACGGAGAGAATGGTGTGTGCCTCGCGCAAATCACCATACCGGCCGATTGGTGGGCACCGTTACCACCGCCCGATTCCTCAGGCCGTATCAAAGTCCCCAAGAGTCTGCCACGATTGATTCAGGTTGCTTACTCCGTGTTGGAACCGCGTACGGAGGAGGGAGGACTTGGTGGCGGCGCGAGCGGCGGCGGCGGTGGCAACGGCGGCGGTGGCATTGGCGTTGGTGTTGGCGGTGGCGGTGGCGGTGGCGGTGGCGGTGGTGGTGGCGGCGGTTCTGATTCTGTTGATGCTACCGGTGGATCAGGATTCTGCAGGCCTAGGGTACAAATTCAACCAGTCACTCCTCTAGGTCAAGTGCCGCTCGCGCCCAATAAAGCGGACTATAAGGAACTCAAGGCGGACGATACGCTGACGTTACTGGTACCACATGGACCACTCTATCCGAGATCCAGATTGCACATCCCGGCCTTCCTGCATCCCATCAAGACGACAGATCCGCGACAGGAGCGGGCGCCATTGATCGTCGCGGTCATTTTGAGGTAAGTAACAGCGAGGTGTTTAGAAATGTCAAAAAATGATAACAAACTTCATCTGTCTAGAAAGAGAGTAGTATTCGTCAAGATTATATTATTTATGACTTAGAAATTGAAAACAAATTAAAAACGGGAAGTGTAAAGAGGAAAAATAAATTAAAATGGGAAATCGTCAAGCCCCAGCACTTTTCTTCGCTGGCTAACGCCTGTTCTCGGTATAATTGCATTAAAAATACATTAATCGAAGATAACTTTCCGCCAATATTAATTATAGGATTGATGACGTTGAATAAACGCGGTTTGGAAATTCGCCGAAATAAACCGTGATTAGTGCCGGCGAGTACAAACACGGTTATAATATTTTGTTTAGCCGCTTTCGGACAAATAGGCGATTAAACGCGAAAGTCGCAGCATCGCGTTGAGATTCACTTTGCATTTACTTTTTTTTTAATCGCGCGCATGCCTCGCGAAAAGTGCTTTTAAATCCCAGCTCGAGGAGACTCTCGCGCGGCCAGAAAGTGGGTCGGAAATGTACCGTCGCAGGGGCTGAAATCCTCTAATTGGATGAATTGTCAAGTAAGCTGGCGAGCGAAGTTACAAGCGCGTCTGTTGTTAGTAAGCACTCGAAAGTTCCGCGACTGCGACTAACACGGGGCGTATACACTCGAGCACGGACCAATCCGCGTGAGAAACTCATCGTTGTTGGATCTGTAACATATTGTTGAGAATGCGAGCTGGTGCTGTTGGAATAGAATTCTTTGCGCTGGATAATCGCGAAACGTTTGAACCAACACTGCGAGTCACCGAGAATAAAAAACCCTGGTGTAATCACGCGTCCATAAGAATGAACTATACCAGACTATAAGTCGAGATCCATGTGCGTTGTAAATAAAAAACACGTTGCACCGGCTTTATAAAAACGTACGTGGTAAGGCTTACATAATTAATCAGTTAACCATGTAGCGTCACGTATACAACACAATATTCATGAACATCACGGGTCGATATTTCTCGATGACTAAAATATAATATCTTGAAAAAAATTTTAATCTGTATATTTTACGGTATACAATCAATTTGCATAAAATTTTTTCTTTCCGCATTATTGATGAAGTTTTGAAATTTATATTTGTTTCTAATATTGTTATGAAAATATTGTTATGAGATTTAAAATTTGTAACTCAGAAAAATTCTAACTCAGAAATATTTAGGCATAATCCGAGTTATATCACAATGTCTGAAGATATATCAAAAATAATTTGGCGGAAGTTTACGAAACTCTCTTCCAAAATTTATGAACCGCTTAAAAGACTATTGCATGCACTTACGCGCTATTATGATAAAGACTTCGGGTTCCAGCGTCGACGTCGTTGACATCGCGTATACATAGTGAGCTTAAATAATTAATGAATTAATAAACAATTAAATAATAAACGAAGACTTCGTCACTATTTAAAGCCTTATCATAGTAAAAGCTTTTAAATACTACTTCGTCTACGTAATGGGTGCAAATTTTTAAAAGCTGTTATCTCTAATAAAATCGCGGTAAATCTCTTTTCAATAATTATTTTCTTTTCAAGTTTTTAGTTTTTTCTTGATTGTACATGAATTATACATGAATAAGCCTCACTTTGTATATGATTGCAAGAATATAATTTACATTTTTTTAGTAATTCTAGAAGTAAAGTGCTAATGAACTTCCTCTCTCTAATTTTTATTACCAGAAAGCTTATTACAATCTCGTAAACGGATACAAATTAAAAGCTTTTGCATAATCGTAAACCATTTGTATGATTATTTTTTCTTTTGCCATAACATTACGAAATGGAGAGATGCAATATTACGCAGTTTATTTGGAATATAAATTCTTAAGGGATTAAATGGATAATTAAATTTTAAAATAACAATTCTCTTGCGATATTAATATTTTATAGAACGATAATCTTTGTACGTGTTATTCAAATTTTACTACTTATTGGTACTATATTAGGAATAGACAATATATTCAAGTTTTATTGATTATAACGTTCTCGAAATATGATTCACATAACTTTTGTTACTTGTTTTGCATCGGAAACATTATATAGGATGAACGATGATAACACGCGAGATAAGTGGTATCGATAGTGGACTCAACTCATTGCGGAGGTCGTGGGTTATCGAGATCATCTACGCAATTTCTGCACACAGAGGCCATTTTAAAACAGAATTGCGTTTGTTTATTTATGGAAATCTGCATAGCGCATAGCCTTGACGTTCGGTAATTTTATAGAATTAATGAGACACGATTGCCCATTTTTGCACAACTATTCAGATTTTTACACAGATAAATTCTTGTTTCTTTATTTTAATCTCATTATCCGCGTGATGCTAACGTCGCATAATTTATAAAATTGCGAAATTTAGCTCGCGATATTTTTCCGTTTACGTGTATTACTTTACTAAGAACATCTTTTGTGCAACTATATTTCGCGTTGCTAAAATTAAAAGCATAATTTTTCCGATATTGATCAACTTCCAAAATTCTGTCTCGTTCACAATCATAGCAATAAGCTAC